ATCTATCTATCTATCTATCTATCTTTTTAAAAGATATATAATATATATTTATATATAATAGATAATATATATATTTAAAGATATATATATATATATATCTTTTAAAAATTCTCTTAAATACATATGTAAAATTCCACTAGCCTAGAACGTGGCGCAGGCTCCTTGCCATAAAACTTTCTAAAATTAGGTGGTCTAGGAAAAGCTCTTCTTCAAAAATGAGTACTGAAAAATAAACCCACACCATGTGTCTACAAATATATTAGAATGAAAGAAGAGGGAAGACACAGGAAAAGTAAATGATAGGAGGAAAGTTTCACCAGAGATAATTTGCTAAACAAAAGATAGAAAAATTTTACTATGAATTTAAAATATTAATCGTATAATCACCTCTAAAAGGCACTGTGAGTGGTAGAAATAAGTGTGAAGATTTAGTGTAAAATGTGAGACAATATTATCAGATAAAAGCTTGCTGGCAGATAAAGCAAGGAAGTAAAAGAAATCATCACAGAAAAATGTATATGTTTTGATAATTTCCTGTGTGTGTATTATAGTTAATCAAATTGTATACTTTAAAATGTTGAACTTGGGGAAAGCATTTGCCCAGCAGTTAAATGGCTGGTTGGCATGCCAACACCTCATGTTGAAGTGCTTGGGTTGGAGCCTGGCTCTACTCAGGACTCCAGCTTCCTGCTAATGTGCACCCCAGGAGACTGCAGATGGTGGCTCAAGTAGCTGTGTCCCAGCCACTGTGTGGGAGATCTTGACTTGGTTCCTGACTACCAGATTCTGCCTGGCCTTTCCCTGGCCATTACTGGCATTTGGTGGGTGAACCAGCAGGTGAAAACTCTCTTTTCTCTGTTTGTCTCTATCTCCCTGCTTCTTAAATAAATAAATATTCATAAATATGTTGATATTATTGCATATAATTGTCTTTTGCAATAAATTAAAGAGAGAAAGAACAAAATTAAAGAGAGAAAGAACATATATATGAATACATATAATAATATGTATGAATCTTAAGAACCTCATGTTAACTAAAAAAATCAGACATGAAGGGCTGGTGTTGTGGCATAGCAGGTAAAGCCACCATTTGTGACACCGGCACCCCATATCAGTGCTGGTTCATGTCTGGCAGCTCCAGTTCTGATCCAGCTCTCTGCTAATCACCTTGGAAAGCAGTGAAAGATAATACAATACTTGAGCCCCTGCCCCCAATGTGGGAGACCCGGATGAAGCTCATGTTTCCTGGCTTCAGTTCGTTCTCTCTCTCTCTCTCTCCTTTTCTCTGTAACTCTTTCAAGTAAATAAATCTTATAGAAATCACACATGAAAGAGTACATAATATTTTTTTTTCATTTGTGTGACATTGTAAGGCAGGCAGAATTAAGATAATATAAATCAAAAGTGTTGCTTACTGAGTGTGGAAGGAGTTGACTAAGAAGTGACATCGAGGAAATGACTGGAAGATGAAGAATTGTGACTTCAGGTTGGTAGTTACACAGACGCATACAACTTCCAAAACTTATTAAACTAAACTGTTAAAAATCTGTACTTCATTCTGATTATGCCCCAATTTTTTAACAAAGCATATTGGGGGCAAATGGATTTATGGAGCAGATGACAAGATTCAATATACATATAACTGGAATCTTAAAAAACAAACCAAAACAATGGAATAAAACAAATATATTGAATGCTGTCATCTAAAATTGTTTCCAGAAATGAAAAAGCTCTTAATAATATAGTATATATATATAATAATAATAATAACATGAAGCCATTGAGTTGATAGGGGCAGGCATTTGGTTCACCTATTAAGACACCACTTGGGACTCTCACGTCTCATATCAGTGTGTCTGGGTTCAATTCTTGGCTATGCTTCTGATTCCAGATTTCCCTGCAATTGTGCACCGTGAGAGGCAGTAGATGATGGCATAAGTAGTTGGGTCTCTACCAATCATATGGGAGATCAAGATGGAGTTCCAGATCCCAGGCTTCAGCCTGGCCTAGTCCCAGCAGTTGTGTGCATTTGGGGAGTGAATGAGTCAGTAGATGGAAGATCTATCCCTGTATATCTGTCATGCACTGGATATATTATAGTTTCTGGACTTGTAAAGAATGGTTAAGTAAAATGTTCATGTCAGTCTTACAGGGTGGGAGTGGAGTGGTGGGGTTGGGGGAGGGGTGGAGAGCAAAAACCAAAGTGAGAGAAATCTGAAAGTCTCCGGAGCTCAAGTGGTATGAACTCTTTGGGAACTGCAGTGCGGTTCTACTTCTCCTACTTCCCAATCCTGCCTTCTTAAGTTTACTGTGTGTTTCCTAATTGTACTCCTCCATAAATTCACTCTTTCCCTGTCTTTCTGCCTTTCAAATAAAATGAAAAAGAAAACTACATATATATATATATATATATATATATATGCAGATAGAATTCAAGAGCACATCAAAAAATAATATCACAACCAACTGAAATTTATTCTAGAGATGCAAGGATAACTCAATTCTAAGAAAATTACTGGGGCTAGCGCTGTGATGTAGCAGGTGAAGCCCTCACTTGCAGTGCTACCATTCCTATGGGTGCCAGTTTGAGTCCCGGCTGCTCCACTTCCAACCCAGCTCTCTGCTATGGCTGGAAAAGCAGAGGAAGATGACCCAAGTCCTTAGGCTCCTGCACCCGCATGGAAGACCCAGAAGAAACTCCTGGCTCCTGAGTTTGGATTGGCACAGCTCCAGCCATTGCAGCCATCTGGGGAGTGAACCAGCAGATGAAAGACTTTCTCTCTCTCTCTCTCTCTCTCTCTCTCTCTCTCTGTCTTTCCCTTTCCCTCTGCCTCTCTGTAACTTTGCCTTTCAAATAAATAAATATTTTTTTTTAATTATAACTAATTCTAGTAATAAATTTATGATAGTAATGTAGCAGTCTGTATGGGCGCTAAATTGGATTAAGATAATTTGATATCAGTTTCTGGAAGACATAAAAGTATATCATTACTTTTTTTAAAAGATTTCTTCATTAACATTATTTATTTATTGGAAAGATAAAGACAGACAAAGATTTCCCATTGCCTGGTTCACTCCTCAGATGTCTGCAAAAGCCAGGACTGGACCAGGCTGATGCCACAAGCCAGGAGCTTAATCTGGATCTCCTATGTGGGTATTAGTGACCCAAGTACTTGAGCCATCACCTCCTGCCTCCCTGGGTCCACAAGAAGCTGGAATAGGGAATAGAGCTGGGGCTCAAACCCAGGCACTGTGATATGAGATGCCAGTGATCTAAGTAGCATTTTAGCTACTAGTCCAAAACACCCACCCCAGTTAGTTTCTTGATATATTATCATATCACTGTGTTGACTCACAGTTGATGAAATGATTCCAGGGAAATAGAAGGACTAACACTAAAATCAAGAAAAAGTCGAATATGTTCACAATGTAAACATATCTAAGATTGTTCAAAAATTTTGACCAGTTATAAAAGGAAAGAGAAAGAATTTAGAGGTATAAAAATAGGAAAATGAGAAATAAAACTCCAACTCTGAATGCCTGGAAGCTAAAGAAGAAACATCAGCACAACTTGCATCACAAATAAGAAAATAGCTACAAGAATCAGTGTTGGAAGTAGCCAAAGTAGTATAAAAAGTGAAATGCCGGGCCGGCGCCGCGGCTCAATAGGCTAATCCTCCGCCTAGTGGCACTGGCACACCGGGTTCTAGTCCCGGTCGGGGCACTGGATTCTATCCCAGTTGCCCCTCTTCCAGGCCAGCTCTCTGCTGTGGCCCGGGAGTGCAGTGGAGGATGGCCCAAGTGCTTGGGCCCTGCACCCCATGCCATCGGATCAGCACGGTGCGCCTGGCTCCTGCCTTCGGATGGGCGTGGTGCGCCGGCTGCAGCAACGGCAAAGGAAGACCTTTCTCTCTGTCTCTCTCTCTCACTGTCCACTCTGCCTTTCAAAAAAATAAAATAATTAAAAAAAAAGTCTCAGCTTCATTTATAGTAAGAAAAAAATGAAACAAACTACACTGAAATTCCAGACTGATGTTTTGCTAATTATGTACAGAAGTGGGTACTTTCCTGCACTCTTTGTAGAAGTTTATATGGGTACTATCTTGAAGGTTGAACAGGGATAGAAATAACAGCTATCAAAATTACAGTTGCACATGCTTTTAAGTCCCAGCTACTTCACTTTTAGGACTATATCCTAGAAACACAAAGTTGATAAATAAGCACCATTATTTATTGCAACATTCCTTGAGCTAGCCAAATATTGAAAAAAAGAGCCCAAACCTCTACGTAATCTGCTGCCAGCTCTCAGTACTATGCACTGGGACACAGACCACCTCTCCATCCAGGAGAGGAGTATGTTTCTCTTACACACACGCAGGCGTGGTATGGACTGATATTTATTGCTTTCTCAGAAGGGGAGCTTAAAGACTTCTGGGAAGCAATCTGAGATTCTTTTCCCAATCCTTTATTGTTGTCTTATCCACACATAATATAATTGCAGTTTTAACCACTCCTTCTGCAGCATTTCTAATCCAGTTTTAATAAAGTAAGAACAACTCTTTCTGAAGTTGTCTTTCATCCATTCGTTTCATAATTAAATGAGTTATGTGACTAACCTGTTAACAGTGCATGCATATAAGTTTAGGAACAGATACAACTAACTCTTAGAGTCAGGTCAATTAATGGGAATAGTGGTTTGGCTCTCCACAAGCCTCACCCACCAAGATGTCAGTTTGCTACACTGGAAGGAGAGCTTTGGTTAACCCAGCAAGTTTGGTTAAATAGTCATTTAACTTTTTTTTTTCTTTAACTTTTTTTTCTTTTCTTTTTCTTACATACTGACAATAAATAAAAAGTTGTCCATTACATTGCAAAATGAATAAAATCAAAGTAATCTTAATAAAAAATGATTTGCTTGTGTCTTCACATTGTTATGTCATGACTGCTTTGTCTTCTTTATGATTTCCATATGAGTGCACATTCTTTCCAATATTTTGCAGGGTTTGGTCAAAGAGTTACAAAAAGAGGTCCATGTGATAAGAAGACAAATCAGAGAGCTAAAAAAAATGCAGAAAAACAGGGTTGCTTGTAAAACCTCAACCCATAAAGCCCAGACCTTGGCAGCTTCTATCCTGAACATTTCACGGTCAGATCTAGAGGACATATTGGACACAGAAGATGAAGAGGTAAGATCATTTAAGTATGCATCAGTAAAGATCTCATTGCTCATTGAATTTAAGTTCATATTTTATTTGATTATAATTCTTAGAATCTCATATTTAAGATAATATTCATTAAGGTAAGATTTTTAAGTTGTCAATTCACAAAACCTTTAGAGAAACCTATTGTATAATATAGAAATAAGTTGGTGGACAGAACATTTTAAATTGCTTGTTTGTAATTCAAGTCAGTTATCCTCCTCTGTCTGCTCCATTTTCTTTAATTTAGTTAATCATATTATATATCTTGTAAGTGATATTTTTAATTAAACTAGTTTGAATGGATTTAGTTAAGTATGGTCACCATTGATTGAATATTTTTCCTCCCATGTGAGAGATTTTTAAGAAGTGGTGAATCTATTGACTTTCCTGGCTAACTTCAAAATTATTGTTGATCAATATATTCTTGAAAATATATTTATTGCTTTAAATTAGGTGAACTATTCCGGTGTGAGTGAACTTGTATGCATGTGTCTGCGACTCTTCAGTAGCGTATCACAGCTCACGGGATCACTGCATGTGTGGCATGGCCACTATTTCATAACCAGCAGAGTCTCACCTGCTCAGTCTTCAGTGAAACTTTTGGAGAATGCTCAATCCTGTTGCCCTGTGCCTCTGAACTTTAATCACAAATATTATAATTTTTATTGTTTGGAAATATTAAAGAGATAATGGCACTAGTAGCATCCCAATAAAGATTTGCTCAAAGCATAAATAAATCAGTAGACTTAAATGTTTGTATGTGACCATCCTCTGTCCACCCCCCAGACCCCCGCCTCACCATCAGCTTCTAAAACACCTTTCAGAATAGAGACGATCTATAATTTGTAAAGGTTTTTACACTGTCAAGAATTCTTTGAAAAGAGACCAAAGGTATCCTGTGGAGATTATCTCCATCTTATGGTGAACAGGATGATGAATTATCAGTTTCCTGTTTTCAGCAATTTTATCACAATATCTGTGACTTGCTACCAAATTCTGAACTTTTAAATGTAAGAGAATTATCAGATACAGTATCAAATATAAGCCATATGGGAGGGGTTGGCATTGTGGTATAGTGAGTAAAACCACTGCCTGCAACACTGGCATCCTAAATGGGTGCTAGTTTGAGTCCCAGCTGTTCCACTTCCTATCCAGTTCCCTGTTTATGACCTGTAAAAAGCAGTGGGAGATGGCCCAAATGCTTGGGCCTCTGCCATCCATGTAGGAAACTCAGAAGAAAGCTCCTGGCTCCTGGCTTCAGCCTGGCCCAGCCCTGGCCACTGTGGCCATCTGGGAAGTGAACCTTCAGATGGAAGATCTCTCTCTGTCTCTCCCTCTCTCTTTGTAACTCTGAATTTCAAAATAAATAAATAAATCTTTTTGTTTTTTAAAGACATGGGAGATAATAGCATGTCTGGCCAGGATGTTAGCTATCTTAATACAAACATGTAATTAAAATGTGTTGATTGATAATGAGAAACGTAACCAAATATTGAGACTGAGGCCTCTGCTGTTGCTAGAGGCTTTAAAACAAGTAGATTTAGTGGAATTCATGTTGGATGTGTATGCATGTAAGTGCACAACTATGTATGTACTTGCATAAATAAACTTGTGTGTGTACTCTAGAACACAGAGCTACTGCCTTTGATTGGTCTCTAAAATGCCCTCTATGGGCTAACAGAAAGAAGTACTCCCTTTGGATGGGCAAATTTGAAAAAGTTATCCCATTTGAATATATGAATTAGAAAAAGGTCCCTATAGTCCCAAAAACTATGTGCAGTGAAGACAGTGCAGTGAAGAAATGCCACCTCTGCCTCTGGCCAGGTGCAGTCTGAAACCAGGGTGCACAGCACTGCAGTATGCATTTCACACACTTAAAAGAAGGCCCTCCCAGAAGAAGAAGGACTACAGTATCAATACAGTGTTCTAGATAGGATCAGTGCACCTTGGTATGTTTAATTATAGATCAGAACTTACCTAGAGTGATCATCTTACACATCTTTCAGAAGTATAAGGAATTGAGTGCCTTGCCCAAACAGAGCTCAGACCAGCTAACTTGTGTTTTTTAAACTATATCACACTACATAGTAAGTTCATGTCAAAAACTGTGACAGCCTGAGCAGACATTTAATGGTTAACACACCAGCTTCCCACAGCAGATTACCTAGGTTGAATTCTCGGCCACAGCTCCTGACTCCAGCTTCTGCCAGTGCACACTGGGAGACCGTAGTGATGACTTGGGTAGTTGGATCCCTGCCACCCACATGGAAGACCTGCATTAAGTTCTCAGTTCCTGCCTTTGGCTTTGCCCCAGCTCCTTTTGTTGTAGGCATCTGGGCACAGAACCAGAGGATTAGAGCAAAGTGAGTGAGCTAATGCTCTCCCCACCCCGCCCCACTCCGCTTGTTTCCCTTCCTCCCTGTGTGTGTCTCTGTCTTTCTCTCAAATAATTTTTAAATACCTGCAATAGCCTCTACCTGCATTGTATGATACCTGGTATACAATAAATTTCAACAAATGTTAGTTTTCAAGTGATTCCCTTTCTTGGTCAGCCAAGTTATGATTTTAAGTGTCTCATCTGCATATGTAAGTACATTATGATTTTCAGAAACATTTCATCTTGATACTTGATGGGTGCAAATATTTAGTGACTTGTTTACTTACAGCACTTTATTTTGGAGTGGCCCTTGCCTGTCAGTAACCTACTGAATATTTTAAATCAACAAGTATTTAAATATACCAGAGTCATTCCATGTTCTACAATATTTGTAATTGTAGCAGTTAGCCCTTAGTTATTTGTTGAAAATCAGTGTAAGGTTTTATGTTATTCATCTGCAAATGATTCTTTTAAACCCCTCTATCTTACTTCTCATTTCATTTTAATCATTTTCACCCCATCTCAGTCCTGACTTTGAGTTCCACTGTGAAGGAAAAAAATGAAACATTTTTGGATTATGGATAAACCTTTGTGAATTAAATATGAAAGAGCATAGATTTAAACATTTCTTCATTGACGGGACAAGTGGCCCTTTGCTGAAGCTGATTATACTGTCACACTTCTAGATTTATTCTATATCTACGTCTGTGGTCAAGTTCATAGGCGTGGCATTAGCACCTGTGTTTTTATTTTCTTCTTTTAGGAAATTGAAAAGACAAAAATGGATGCTGAAAATGACAAGGAATGGCTGTTGTACATTCAGAAACTTCTTGAAGGACAGGTATTTCATTGTTCTGCCTCACATATTAAAACCTGCAAGTAAAAATTTCAAGCCTAACAGTTTGACTAGATGTCTAACTTTCTGTAAACATTTACCCATTATTTATTCTGATAGGTAGGCAGGAAAGTTAACCCTCTATTTGTACTTTTGGACGTAACAAATGAAACTCATGCCTGGGGAAAGAGCCAACATGAGTCTTAACAAATGCATTAATTAAATTATTGAGTCAACCTCTATGCTTGCTAGACTGAAAAGGATGCATTCTCTTAGACCTCGTAGGAAAAGAGATTCTTTATTATGTGTCTTTAAAGTTAGTAGTTGATGTGGACACCTGAGGAGTTCATGGGTTTCAGTGACCTTTTGCTATGGACCTGTTTCCAGTCAATTCATGTTTTCCTCACAGCCAGACAGCTGTTTATTACTGTGTCTTCCCGCATTCTCTACAATATTTTCTACTGAGACCTCGAGCAGCTTGTTAGTGGGAAGTAAATATTGATTTGGCATCCTGTCAATGCAGAAAGAATGAAAAAATTTCCACCAGAGGCCCCTCAAACATTTTCCTATCGACGTTTTCTGGGCCGGGTGGAAAGCTGCATAGAGGATGACAAGGCCAAGACGAGTTGAAATCCCTGAGGGGTCTATTGAGACTGCTGCTGTGACCTGTGTGATACTTTTTCTTCCCTTTCAAGTATTTTTTTAATACACATATAGTCTGCTGGGATGTGCCCCTCTTGTAAGTGATCAAGGGCAGTTTATTGGCAGGTGAGAGCCCTGCTTTTCTAGTCATAGCCAGCTTTTGTTTTGACATCACTGACAGCGCGTAATGTATTCTAAAACTTTTTCATTCTAGTTCCTTTTGCTCAACCTAATTGTTATTGCAAAAGTGACCTGAAATGAATGAAAGCTGAAACATATTTGTCAAAATCGCAAAACAGTGTTGTCCTGTGAGTTTTGAAATGCCATCATTAAATGTTTCTGTGTAAATTTTAAAAACAGCAGCTGCTATTAAATGCCATTATTTTACATTTTATATTAACAAATATTAGCTTCTGTGTTTTTTCATGAAGTCAAGAATAAGTAAGTAGCGTATAACTATGCATATCTTTAGTATCAGTTTTGTGTATTCTTGAAACATTATCTAGAATCACTTCAATAAAAATAGGTGATTAGCAGTCTTTTGCCTAACGTTGTTTAAGTAAACATGCACTGCTACTAGACAAAGCCTTTTAGAATTGCAACCTGCTTTGGAAAAGAGAGGCCATTCCTTAATTGTGTTGTGTCAGAGAACCCCATTCAGTGTCTGGCATATCAAGGAGCTAAATAATGATTGTCATGAGTTTTTTTTTAAAGCTTGAAAATAAGCTTTATGATGAACTTTTTCAATGTTCACTTTGTAAATATGACTTTGTATTTTTAATTAGAAATCTAATTGACCTAAAAATAAACTCATATGTGTAGCTCTTTATTAGGTTTTACTAAAGCTATATGGATACAGGACCTGTTTGGTTTGAGGTTTTGTTGTTGTTATTGTTGTTCTTTTTGGCCAACACATGTTGAAGTATATACACGCATTCTACATTATCTGGATATATGCTTATTCTGTCCAGTTAGTGTAAAAAGCCCCATTGAAAATGGCATCCAACTGCTTAATACTGCAGTTTGATATAGTGCCTTTTTGTGCCACTGAGCCTGGACTCTGGAATATAATTGCCTGGCAGTATTGATTTAATTGCCCAGGTTTATTTGTGGACTCCTAATTATTGACTGGAGGTAAATTTAATGGAGCAGCCGTTATGAACACTGGGAAAGCGCTGCTGTTGCTGTTATACATAATGAACTGCGTCATGTGCCTTTAGATCATTTTTCAAGCTAATTTTATTCCACTGTGACAGTATGATAACATTTAAAAAGTCAAAGACTTTTTATTTTTATTACTGACATGGATGGTTTTGCTGATGTCTTTGAATTTTGTGAGAAAAAAATAGAGATTTCATTGGTTGCACTTGAATGTCACTTTATAATTACACCCAAGAGAAAAATCTATAAAATAGAAAACATCTTTTTTTAAGCCTACTTTTCTTCTCTTTCAGCAATTATATTTGTCCTGAATTTCAGAAAGTGTTTTCTTTGCTCACCAGTTTTGTTTTGCTTTGTTTTGTTTTTACAATATGAATTACACTTACAAGATTGTGTGGGAAAATGTCTATGTTCATTCATACATTTTGTTTAGTTTATAGCTTATTGGTCTTGTATATGAATTTGTAGGATCTTCAGATTTCAGGACAATTTAATGCATTGCCTAAAAAACACTAATTCAATATTGGTTCTTGGTTATTTTCAGAATAAGATTATAAGAAAACTTCCCTTTTGTCTTCATTTTTTTTTTAGGTGCTGTATACAACATAATCCTAAGATTATCTGGCCCTATAACTTTGATTTTTATTTAAGAATTGGGCTGCAGAATTGTTTTTAAATTAAAAAAAATTGCATTCTTTTGATGAAATTTTGCATGGATAAAATATATATGGCAAAATAAAAAGCTGCTCTGCTATGTGACAATGTGAAATTCTATAATATAATCCTGACTGATACTGTTCGCCAGCAGTACACGAGAACTAAATGATCTAAAACCTTATCTTGTACGTTTGATCCAGAATGCAAATACATGCACTCATTATTTCAAGTAGAACTGTTGCAACTGGTAATTCTACATACTTGTTATTTATTTGCAACTCATCATTGTCTCTGCAGATTTCTAGTGATAAGAACCACACTAAAAGAAATCTTGCTTAGAACTACTTCCTTTTCTCTATAGCATAGTTACCTTTAATTTCTTTGAATGTTTAATTGTATTAATTACTCTTTTATCATTAAAAATGTTCTTTTAAATTTACACTTTTTGGCAGAGAGAAAGAAGCAAGTTTACAGTTACAGTACAATGAGAGGAACTCCTAAAATTAGTTTGTACTTTAAAGAGTAGGGAAAAAATAGAGCTAAGAAAATATGGCTGGAACCAAGCTATGTAAGATTTTGAGCTGGAAAGGGATCAGCATGTGCTTTAGAACAATATATAGAATTTTTGGAGACAAAAGAGAATAGGAGCAATAATATGTCCAGGTGAGGGACAAGAAAGTCTAGATGTGCCCTGCCCTTAGAAACTGGCCAGGGGCTGGTGTTGTGATGCAGCAAATTAATCTGCCACCTGCGAGGACGGTCTCCCATATCCGAGCGCCAGTTCAAGTCCTCGTTGCCCCACCTCCAATCCAGCTCCCTGCTGATGAGCCTGGGAAAGCAGCAGAAGATGGCTCAAGTGCATGGGTCCCTACCACCCATGTGGAAAACCTGGATGGGAGTTCTAGGCTCCTGGTTTTAACCTGGTCATTTTCTTGTATTGGAACCACATTAAAAATTCTTTCTTTTGACCTTCAGTTGTTGAGGTCTTGTTTTTCCTGTTTTTTGTTTGTTTGTTTGTTTATTTTTTTTAAGATTTATTTATTTGCTTGAAAGTCAGTTTCAGAGAGAGAGAGAGAGAAAATGAAAGCAAGATCTTCAATCTGCTGCTTTACTCTTCAAATGGCCACAATGGCCATGGCTGGGCCAGGCTGAAGCTGGGAGCCCGGAGCTTCTTCTAGGTCTTCCATGTGAGTGGCAGGGGTCCAAGAACATAGGCCATCTTCCACTGCCTTTCCCAGGCCATTAGCAGGGAGATGGAACGCAAGTGGAGCAGCCGGGACACAAACCAGCACCTATATGGGATGCCAGCGTCAGAGGCAGCGGCTTAACCCACTATACGACAGCGCTGGCCCCTGTTGAAGTTTTTAAGCTCAGACTTTGATCAGTGATTTTTCGTTTAGCTTTAAATATTCCTGTTCCTATGACTTACTTCCAATCTTGCAAATGCTGAATTTAAAACAGCTTACCCTCCCCAGTGTCCTCTCTGCAAAATATGCTTACCTTTGACAAGTAGAGAATGCCTACACTATGTCAGAGGGAAGGGTTTATAAATCTCCCTGGCTTTTGTAAATAGAGGCTGCTGCCAGCCTGAAGGTTAACAGAAAGTATCTCCTTGCGACTCTGAAGACATTTGCTCTGAGGTTATTTACCATGTTGCACCTATAGCATATGTGCTCACACACTTGCATACTCACACACTCACCCTCTCACACATAAAAACCCACACAGTCACCCACATGGACTTGAGGAATAAGTTATAAGATACAGCTGAAGTAACAAGAGCTAACATTCTCTATCCAGAAATTTGCTGTGATTTCTAAAATAGTTTGTTTAGCAATCTTGAACCTTCTTTTTTTCCACTCTTTTTTTTAGGTTTTATTTAAGGCACACAAATTTCATGTATTCATGTATATAGATTTAGGAACATAGTAATACTTGCCACCCTACCCTCCTACTAGAAAAAAAAAAAAAAGATATCTGTGGTTAAAGTTAAAAGGACCCATGAAATGAAATAGCTAAATTTTATTTGTAGTTATATTACTAGTTTTGCCTTGTAACTTTTATTTTTTCAGTAATTTTAATAGTTTTTTGGGTGTAGCTTTAGGACCTCTAATGTGTGTTCTTTCATTATAATAAAATGAAGATGTTTATAACTCTCTACAATTAAGTGGTGACCAAGTACAATCAGATTTCTACCTAGGAGTTCTGTATTAACAGCTGGTTAATAACAGCTGATTCAAATAACATCTCATTATTTGAAATTAGTTACTCATTCCACAAGCTTTTGTTCAACATCTATTATATGTGAAAGCGCTAGTCAGCGTGGGAGAGAAATGGGACAATTTAGGTCCTCAAAAGGCTTAAAACCTAAAATAGGAAAAAAAAAAAAAAAAAAAACAAGTGTTGGCGAGGATGTTGGAATCCTGTGCCTTAATAATAGAATTTAAATTGGCACAGTTTCTATGGTGGTTCCTCAGAAAATTTAAGCATAGAGTTATCATGTTATCCAGAAATTCCACCACTGAGTACATTGCCAACAGCATTGA